ATAATAATCGCGTTTTTAGTACTCATAATACTGATAGCAATAAATAGCTGGAGATTCATTGTAAAACATTATTTTTATTTTTTGTGTGAAAATTTTTTGAGTAATTTTTATTTTACATTTTTCCAAACTCTCATGTTTATTGTAGTAGCGCTACTGGTATTACTGTGTAAATATATTTGATACAATTAAAATAGTAATGTTTTCGTAAAAGCTAAAAATTCACCACTATTTTGAACAACGATTGGTTAGTAACAAATAGTGACTGATCTAGCCTTATGAATTTAAGTTTTAGTAAAATATTATTTACATACTAATCGTTAACTTTTTGTTATTTTCATAATGTATTATTTGATAATTGCACTGTAAGAAATGCTTTTTTTTCTATAAAAATAAAATATAGTTGTATAAAACTCTTGTCTATGTTACTTATTTATGAAACAAAGATAAAAAAAAAAAAAAAAATAATCAAGCTGGTCTAAAGTGTATATTAATCAATAAGTATCTTACTAATTAAAATCACATTTATTAAAAAGTTTCGAGGTATTACAGATTTTTTATAAATCAGATGCAAGTCAGAAAAACGAAGTAACGTTCAAAGAAAAAAACGATTAACAATAAAATGTATATTTATGTACATATTATTACAACAAACTATTATCCGATCTAAAATGTGCAGCAAATCTTTATTTTATATTCCGTACGTGTACATTTAATCTAACTCTTAGACGCAAATAGAATTGAACTTGGAAAAATCGCCTCGCATTTTTCAGGATTACAAGTGGAAAACGGAGAAGGGACGAGAGATTGACGCATTTATTTGTGAGAAAACGTAGACTTGCCAGTGCTAGTACAGTCTCCGTTCGATTCCCGTTGGAACACCACTGTAGTGAATAATAAATAACAATTTTTATTGTTTATTAAAAAAACTTATTTTTTAAACCCATTAAAAATGATATTGAAACATAGTCTTTGTCTTTTAGTTTGTACGTTTTTAATAACACTACAACTTTCGTGCGCTTGGTTGGATTACAGAAAGCTTGGTAAGTGACCTTGTAATTTATAAATTATTTAACAAACACTAAGAATATTTTTGAGCCTAATATTTATAAAACGTTAAATTTACAACATATAGAAAAAAATTTTTTTTTACAACTTACATTTCACAATTGAATTCTAATTTTTTTAATTCATGAACATTTTTTAAATAGTTTTTATTACGCAATTCATTATATTTTTATTATCAAACAAATTAGCAATAAATAAAGTACTCAATTTTATTTGTGTAAGTTAATAATTTTAATTGTTCAAGATAAAAAGATACTTGCTTTGGTAAAAGTTTTGGAATACATAAAAAAAAGGCCGCAACAAATGAATATTGATACTACAGTTGGCGTAACTTTTGCTGAAGGTGATATGGAATATAATTATTTCAAGCTCACATTAAAATTTACAGAGGCGCAAAATAATATTTTTATAATTTTTTTTTTAGTTAATCTAAAAGCTGCTCTTCAACATTCAAACGTAATGTTCTAGATAGATTTTGGAACAAAACGATTGTTGTATAAAATGCTGACCGATAAGGTGGAGGTCTCATCCTCAAATTATTGAACGAATTAATTGATAAATTAATTATTCTTGCGGGAAATTATTACAAGCCATGTCAAAGTGTTTTAAAAATTTTTGAGTTTATTTTTTTTTTACATTCAATTCAATTCAATTACATTTATGGAATTTTTTTGTTTTTAACAATAATATTAAAATATTTTCGACTTGGTTTACACTTCGAGTATGGTGCAAATTTACTGTATATGGTACCCTCCGTCAATGACCACCGCAGAACCGGTAGTCATCGCGCTTCTGTCACTCAGAAGAAATACTATAGAATCCACAACCTCACAAGGTTCTACAAGAAAACGGATTTTACATAATTATTTAATAACCATCGAAATCCAGCAACAACTGAGGTAATAATGTTCATATCTTGCCTGCAAATCGATCCATCGGAATTTTCACCCTTAAAGTGGCAGCCTTATCCGGATCGCTCCAATTCGCTTTTCCCATCGCTGTCATGACAAGCGTTGGATTAACCGTGTTAACTCGGATGTTGTAAGGGGCCAACTCCAAAGCCATAACTCTGGCCATAAAATCACAATTATTTTAATATATTTTATTGAAGCAATTTTTTTATTTACCAATAATATTGAGTAGCATTAATTTAAAAAACAAATTTATGCATCCCAAAAAATCCCCTTTTTCCACAATAGTAGTACGCTTGAATATTAAAATGTCTGCTTTCAATTTTTAGGGAGTATTGTTTTTTTGTAGAATGAGTTCAAAGTCGGGTTGACACACTATAATTTTTCAAAATATTTCAAATTTTTGTGATACTGTATTAATACGCGGATATATGTATATAAACATAATTAAATGATCATGCCTCTAAACTTGGATTTTTTTAATCCGTAGCCAGTAATTTTTTTTTTTTTTTTTTTTCCAACAAGTGTATAGCCTTAATACAGTTTACATTATCCATTTTACAGACACGTTTTACATTGTATTGGTCACATGTTACAGTAATGGTTACATGTTTCATTTTTCGTTACATTTTCACATTGTTTGATATTGTTCATAATCCGTTGGTATGGTGATCATTTCAACATTGAACAAGGGTCTCCCGCTGACTGAACCGACGTGCGCTTATGCCACGTATTATTGATTAGATAGTACGATTTGGTATTTTATGATAAAATACGACACAACTGCAACTATCATCTAAAAAAACATGATACAATAAAATTTTATACTTATTTATGATGACGTAATGTCTTAAGTAAAATTTTTAATACTTTTAAGCACGATTGTGACATGGAGAGATTTTCTTTTACAAAAAAAAGATCATTATAATGATTTTACTAAGTTTTTTAAGGAATAATTAAACCAAATTCCAAAAATTTCAATTACCTAGCAATATTATAACAATATCCTATATAAGCAGGGCTTACATTTTGTATGAAATAATAAAACTTAATTTAGAAAAACTAATCCAACAACATATCGACAGCATTATCAAAAAAAAGCTACAGATTATGCGGTATCATGAAATATGGCTTTATAACCAAAGTTATAACTTTACCCCTTAAAAAGAAAAAAAAACATTACTAAAAACATTACCAACTTTACATGTAAATATCAAAATACTATAGAAAATATTTTGTAACAATTTTCGTATTAATAATTTTAAACAATAATCATACTCTTATATTAAGACAATTTTTATGGACAAAAAAAGCAAGTGATGAAATGTTCTTTAATATGTCTATAAAAAGTACGACTCAATGGAGTGGNAATATTTTTATAATTTTTTTTTTAGTTAATCTAAAAGCTGCTCTTCAACATTCAAACGTAATGTTCGTAAAATCTCATCAAAAAAATTTTCTCGAAATGGCTTTACTATTGTCCAAAAATACTCGAAATATGATTGATAAAAGTGTAACATTGTCAAGCGAAGCTGAAGCGAGACGTAAATATAATTTTTAGTTTATTAAATATTTCAAAATTTTTTTCACTAATATTTAATATTTATTTCAGTAAGTGCAGGTCTTAATATACCGCACATTTGGCTAAAACCAATAACGTGGAGGAAAATGGTGCTAGAAAATCATTTTAAGCCCAACCCAAATTTAACGACAACGGATGTCGTGACGTCGTTCTTCAGCGGGCATCCTACAGCTGACGAGAGTGACAAGTGTCTTTTGGATTTGATAAATAATTGCGAATTGTCTCATAAATGCCGTAAGCTTGTGGTTAACGACAATAGCAGCAGTACTACTGGATATTCGTTAACCCATAGATTACTTATCAAGCAAACCATCAGTGCTGTGAGTTGAAATTGTAGCTTAATTTTTTATTGATTGTCAAATGGCTGTTTTTCGGGAAAAAATGTTTACAGCTCATAAAATTTTAAAATTTAGCTTCAATGTAACACAAGCATCTCGAGATTTTCGCCATACCTTGGATACAACTTGTGCTATCAAATTCTACACGATTTAATGAGTTTAGAAGCTGTGGGATTTCCAGATATCGGCAGAGATTTAGCCTTGGAACAAAGTTATTTTTTTTTTACACTAAAAAAAAAAAAAAAAAAAAAAAAAATTCAATAACACCAGCTTTAATATTCATTCATTGTTGCAGTTTTTTTGTGTGGTATGGAAGGTTACTTAGACTTTCTCAGCGAGCATTACGAGCAACTGATCCTGGATTGGCAACATGACAGTGGATGTTATCGCGGATTCAGGTAAGTCACCACCATTAAAAATTGTTCATTAAAATAATTAAAATATGGTTACGCAAATAAATGTTTCATGTCGCATTTTTTAATTACTTCTCTTGTTAACGAAGTTAAATTGATGTAAGACTTGCTTCTATGTTCCTTCCTGTTTATTTTTTAATCCAGTTAACATTATCAGCAGTAAGCAGACGCTCTTGCGTGCGCATGGCTATATTATCCATTTGTATACAGTTTTCCCTGATGCTTATATACCGACTAAGCTCAATGACAATGTGGCAACGGCCACGCGTTCATGCAGGCGCGCCATAGCCTTTCAACCCCACTTAGGGGTAGTTTGGAACGTGTTTTCAATCGCCTCCTATTTAAATGCTATGTACCATAAAAAATTAATTTCAACTGAGTTCACTTCTGAAAAAATCGCTCTACATGCTGATCTCGACAAATTCCACTATACCAGCCATGAGCTCGTCGTTGGCTCAGGTGGTTTGGGTGCTAGCCATTGAAACAACACAGCTCTCTAGGGGTTGTGAGTTCGATTTCTGGTCAGGGCGCTCTCAGAATTTTTTTGTGATGGTTTTTGCCAGGTATCACATCCATGAAACCGAAATAGGATTAGGCTTTGCAATTTAAGTTGAAAGTAATCAATCGATTGAAAAATAAATAATTTTTATGGTGATTTCTCAATAAGGATTATAATGATAATACAGTACACGACGTAAAATCGATTCAGGTATGTTTAAATAATAAAGGAAAGTTTAAATACCCACAATAGGTTAGTAATGTAGAAATAGTTCTGTTATACATTAAATCTTGAAAAATATAAGTACAATAATAATCGCGTTTTTAGTACTCATAATACTGATAGCAATAAATAGCTGGAGATTCATTGTAAAACATTATTTTTATTTTTTGTGTGAAAATTTTTTGAGTAATTTTTATTTTACATTTTTCCAAACTCTCATGTTTATTGTAGTAGCGCTACTGGTATTACTGTGTAAATATATTTGATACAATTAAAATAGTAATGTTTTCGTAAAAGCTAAAAATTCACCACTATTTTGAACAACGATTGGTTAGTAACAAATAGTGACTGATCTAGCCTTATGAATTTAAGTTTTAGTAAAATATTATTTACATACTAATCGTTAACTTTTTGTTATTTTCATAATGTATTATTTGATAATTGCACTGTAAGAAATGCTTTTTTTTCTATAAAAATAAAATATAGTTGTATAAAACTCTTGTCTATGTTACTTATTTATGAAACAAAGATAAAAAAAAAAAAAAAAATAATCAAGCTGGACTAAAGTATTAAGTCTTGGTACTGAAACTTATAAATATAAGCTGGAGGCGAGGAGAATTTGATACTTTTTTTGGTTTCAACGTCGCTGGTAACAATACGGTCTGCCATACGGACCAACTCTGAAGCTCGACTTTTCAATTCTCAGCTGTTGATAGTAACTGTAGACTACGAACCAGAAGTACGCGTAGATCACTGGAATATTAAAAGTTGGTAAATAAATTTAAAAAATACAGAGAAATTACGTCAATTTTCACGAAGCACTTGTATAAAATTATTAAATTTTGTAAAATTATGTTGCAAAAAAGAAGAAAAATTTACTGAACAGTGGGACGAAAATATTTACTTTATCTATCTTGCCATATTGGTGTTGGAAAAAACAACCTTTTTATTTCATTTTATCCATCAGAAAATTATTCTTAATTTACAATGTATTGTTAACTAATTATCTTCCATAAAAATGTCAGTTAGAATTGGGAAAAAAATAATCCGATAGCATCCAAAGATACAACTCAATTCCCAAAGTAAAAGTATACCATTAAAGAATTATTATCTGAGTAAAAAAAATACAAGTAGCGTCGAAATTCACTCACCAACTGAAATGAGGCCGAATACCAAGAAAAATGATCCGTACAAGTAGCGATTGACTTCGTCATCTTTCAAGAACAATGTTATCGATGTGAAAAGCACACTGACAAGAAGACCGATGACAATAAGGATACCCAGAACTATCCACGGCAACATTAAAGTCGTCCGTTTCTAAAGAGACAAGTAAAATCATTGAAATTCATTTTTTTTTTTTTTTTTTCACCTTTTCGTCAACTATTAATACTGCATTTACCGTTAAGGCTCCGATTATCATCAACGTTGAAACTATAATCGTCATGACCAAATTTAACGCTAAAATGATTTTGGTCGTCGTCGTGTCGACTTTCATGATTATTGTGTGGAATTCAAGATTTTCTGCAGTAAAGAGGAGTATGATCGTCACGACCGACAGTACCTGCACAGAACCACGAAATTAATGGTCACGATTGTTTTTTAAATTAATTTTTATGCTTTTGGTACTTACGATGCACCATACTCCGCTGAAAATGGTCCCCACTCTGAGTGGAAAACACGCGCAACACGCCGTCAATCGAAAGCTGCAAAAGAAAATTATTCATTTTTTTTTATCATTACATTTTTTAATGCTTTTAATTATAGAACCCGTATAATTTACAGCCAAATATCTGCACTTATAGCTCCTTTATTTTTTTTTTTTTTTTTCCTTTCTCAAAGAGATACCATTGTAATTATCTCTTATCCAATATTCAACCGATCGTCCAAAGTATTGGTGCTTGAAAACTAGTGCAATGAATAACAGTCGAAAAATTATATTTCCGTGACTCTAGTAGGTACTATTTCCATCCAAGCAATTGCATATACTCACAATCACACGAATAATTCCCACAAGATCCAAAAATTGCCGGCAACGAAAATTCAAGGAAAAAAAAAAAAAAAAAAAAAAAAAAAAACAAAAATCAATTATAATCTCTAAGCTCCCTCTCGAGCCCCCGCGCATCCAAAATAAAAGTTACGCATATGCACGACGCATATAGCATGTACACGCATAACATGCAACGAGCAAGTGTCAGAGCTCCTCCACAGCTCGTACATCGTATACGGACACACGGGCGCCCACACGCGAGTGTCTGCGCGAATATGGGTCAGTGTCGATTTCGTTTTCGTTCTCTATTCTGGATTTTCTCCCGCGAGGGGACGAAGGTTTAATTTCGGATCGGTCTTGGGCAAGCCGCGGCTGCACTGACCTTCCTCTCTCATTTCGCTCCGTTTCGCGCGTCTCTCGTTTTTCTCTATTACTCCCCGGCCCGCGCGACAGATGCACTTACTCCACACTATGTGCACAATGGAGCCTCTGTCGTTGTTGTCGATCAAACAGATTGAGGCCCTCCGGTGGACTGCTTCTACTGTTGTTTTATTGATTGCGGACATCAGGGGTGATTTGGTCGATTGGACGGGCAGAGAGTGGCTTCTTCCGGTTCGGTCTTATCTTGGGGACAAGAGGTGGTGAACTCTTTTGTGCTGCACTTTGATGAACTTTAATCAGGCGATGTACGATGAGGAGAGATGATTGTTGGGTTTTTATTTTTTCTCTTTGCGTCTTTGACGCGGATTTTACATCTTTGGCTGAAACGTGAGTGTTTTTTGTTTTTGCTTTTGTTTTTTCTAGTAATCGTAGTAAAGGCGCAGTTTGCTCGATCGGTATAGGATTGATCGCTCGTACAGAATAAATTGGCACACTCGAGCACCGATTTACCGCTATGATTCTCGAAACGCGACTTGCTTCTGGATACGCGTACCGATTTAACGCGTCCCTGTCGTCAATATCGACAGGTTTCATTGCACCTCCGTCGTGGATTCAATTTGCACCTGTTCTCGAAACTGTACACTTTGTTTCGGGCTTGTAATAAAAACTACATCTACACCTTTCGATTACACCATCAATCAATTGAGTTACTACTAAGGAAAATGTTGAAAGAACTTCAGCATAAGATTTATCTCTGCTTCCACAGATTTTTATATTTTAATTTGAAAAAAAAAAAAAAAAAAACGTCCCACGTTGTTGCACCTAACGCATCATTTAAACCACAATACACCTCGAGTCGACCACACAGAAAGCTAGAAACCCAGAGAGAGAGAGAGAGAGAGAGGCTGCACGTAACATAATACATGTAAGTACATTTGAATGCTCTCATGCATCGGTAGTTGTACGCGAATAGAGATGTGTACGTATATGTGCACATTCAAACGCGTAATACTTGCATACAGTAAAGGAGAGGAGGAGCGAGTTACAAAAACGCACAGCGCTGCAGCTTAAATTAAAACCACACAGGGAACACACGTGCAGTGTGTATACGTGTAACAACACCAACCCCCGCAGCATCTCTCCTCGTCGCGCGTGTATTATTTATCCAGGTTGGCTATCGCGGCTTTTTTCACCCACACAACGGGTATGCACGTACATCCACAAGATATAGCCGGGTCGCTCTCTCGAGTGCAGGCGGTTAAGGTCACCATCTCTTATGTACATGTACGGACGATCTTTCTCTTCTCTCTCTCTCTCTCTCTTACGGTCTCTGCGGCCGAGAGAAAGGAAATCGGGCCCCACGCGACTGTATAGCCCCCGCAAACCGACTCCTCCGGGCGCACGTACCCGTACATGCACATACTATTATACCTACATCACGTATTTATCCCTCTCTCTCTCTCTTTCTTTTTCGCGTAACGTGTGTCCTAAATAATATGTATATGTATGCATCGTATATCTATGGCTAAACTCCGTACATTTACATCCGTTCGCCGTGAGAACCTCACAGCCATTATAGGGTACCTATTATGCACAAACGTCATAAATCGGGGGTGCAAACGATTTCGACCGCCTTTCGCTGAGCCCCCAGATTCACGTAATCGCAGCTACACGGTTTACACATGTCATGATTCGTGTATCGTTTAGCTGGAACGTCGGTTGCGTTCATCAATGAACTCAAGAACGAGCTTCCGCACGCGAGGGTAGACGGCTTTTTTGCAGCCGTGTACATATACATATATACAACGTCCCCGGCTGATGCAGTTATGTCGTCTTTCTCGTTGCGCAATCGAGGAAACGACCGGCTGTGCCTATCGTCGGATTTTTCTCCCCGAGTGCAACGCACACCCGAGATCGTAATACATATAGCGCGGGCGCTAAAAACGAAAGCTTCGCCGTGACTATATATATATATATATATAGTGTTTAATTTGATTAGCGCTCCATTGTTAGCGACATGCGTTTGGAAAGTGATGTCCGGGGTACAGGAGAGGGTGCGTTTCTCGTGGGGGACGAGTTTGGACGAGAATTAAATGTTCCTAACTGTGATTTACAAAGTAGTTTTAACTTTAAAAAAAAAGGCACCCACACATGGCTATTGTTTATTAGTATTGTGTTTCGTGTTTTCTTTATCATCTTTTTATTTCACCATTGTGTGCACTTATGTCGTTAAAGAAATAAAAAACAACTTTGCAGACTGTAAAGCCAGTTCGTCAATGTTTTATTTTGCTAATGACGCATTTTAAGGACCATTACGATGGTGAAACACACATTATTATAATGGCACTAAAATAATTGTATTCCATGTTGCAAACAACGTATTTTGTAAGATACTAATTATTTTGGAGTCAAAGCATCAACATAGGTGTGAAAAGAATAACCGAAACCAGAATCCTTTTATCGGTGTATATACTCGGTATCTCACGCTGTTTTGGAAATCATTACTTATTCCAGCGAAAATTATATTTGTATAGCAAGTGTGGACTACGTGATGAGCATTTTTCGCGGGAATCATCGTGGAGAAACAGTAATTTCAAGAAGCGCGGCAGAATTATATCTCAAAAATAATTCTCCGAGGTATCGAGTTTCAAACTCCAAATAACAATTGAAAAAAAATCAAACCAGCATCGATTGATTGAAATTCTAAACAAAATAAAATTGAAAAAAATAAAGATAAATACCAACGAGCATCACAACAAAGCTCACGCGACCGTGGGCCTTCCATCTACGGCAAGATCGAGGACTGCTGGTTCACCTCACGCAAAAAAAAAAAAAAAAAACCCACCTCGTCACCACACGGCTACCGCGGAGAGCGCGTGTCGGGAAAAAGTTTATTGCTGCCTCGCGTCTCTCGATCTCGCGCGTATGACTTCCCCGATGCGCATTGTAACGATATGTGAGATCGGTAACGAAACGACGCCCACGATCGTTACGAAATACAGCACAGGCCAGTCACTCCCACTCGCGGTTCACGGTATTAGACGAGAAGCCGATTTTTTTCATCGTTGCTCTTTGCCGATTTTTACTTCCATGTAGCGCTCACTTTGGGCGGATAATGGTGTTTTCGCATCACTCATCCTTAATCGGTATGCAGTATTATAGTTCAAGTGGCTCGATCGACGCACGTACGAGAATAGAATGGAGGGGGGAGTTGATCCGTGAGTTATGTAGCGACAGGCGCCGGTTGGAAAAGGCGCGTACAATGGATTATACACACGAAAATAGTATAGCCGGCTGATTTCTCTTTTTTTTTTTCCTTCTTTCGATCGCGCGGCAGCTGTTTTCTCGGAGACCTTTTTTTCTTTTATTTTTATAGACACCGATTCTCTCGATTATGGGTTTTTCTCGACGCCTCTTTTGGGAGGAGGGAAAGAAAGGTGCTATTTCGAGCGCCATTCTTTCGATCGTTTTCACTGTTGACGGCAATTATGGTACTATACTTCTCTCGGTGCACATTACGCAACGCGCAACTTCCGAAGCTAAAGCGCGAGCCGCCAATTTTTTCGACGCGTTTACGCACGTTGTGCGCTCGTTTTTCCATCACCAGCTTCCCGATTGGCGAGCAATGACGTTAATTTTAGGCACTGACTAAGAGGGCAAAATACACACACGTGTGCGCGCACGAGCGTGGCACGGTAAAAAGCAACCCGAGCAAAAATACACAAGAGCGGTAAGATCGGGGCTGTTTGTCGATCTTGGAGAGAAAATCGGTTCGATCGGAAGGACGCGAGCGAACGAACGGCAAGGTCGAGCGATCGGCGTGTCATCGGGCTGTGGAGAGAAAAATTCGTTAGTGAAAATACACAGGTTGACCTTTGGAGGTCGACAGAGAGCGCCGATTGGGGATCGATAAAAGGGTTTCGGCGTCTCGTGCGTGGTGTGTTTCGATGGTTGCGTTGTCGTCCTTCTTTGGTATTGTTTAGCTATTTGGGACACGCGCCCAAGCTTTTAATTTCCGTTCGCCTACTTTGCCGAGATGGCCTGTCAATCGGTCGCGTGTCTCTTGATGGACGAGCCTTGGGTTCTGCCTTTTTTTTTTTCATTCGAAATGGGTTGATGACGAGGCGCGTAATTGATCGAGCTTTTGATAGGTGTGGTGGAACTTGGATGCAGTGAGTAATAGAAGTTGAAGAAGCAAGGTATTGTTGTTTTAGTTCGGCTCGTATACGACAATTTTGTGAGTGGTTTCATTAGGGAAATAGTCATGTGTCGATTACGTCTTCAACTGTAGATAATGAAGTTGAACTTCAAAATCGGCATATTGTTAAACTTCAATTTTATTTTTTCTAGTACAAGTTTTTTATTGTTTTGTCGGTCGAGGTGTTTTGTATTTATTGTTGGAAAACGTTTTACCTAGCATGCTCGTTTATAAAAAGAAGTAATTGAGACTCATGAGATTAAACCGTCCATTAGCTGGTCAGTTTGTCAACAGAAGATATTTATCGGATCAAGTGACAGAGAACTTGCGTTTTCAAGGTCTTGGGGAAAAAAAAAAAAAAAAAAAACTAGTACATAAATAATTATTTCATACCCTGTCACTCAATCGCGTAGTCATGCTAGTACCCATTTATCAATCAATCTACATTAGATTCGCGTTCATTGAAAAAAAAAAAAAAAAAAAAAAATCATCAGAATTCCATGCAGACGGATACGAAAAAATAAGGAGCACTCTGATCGTGCCGCCGATCTATAATTATTTTTCTCTTTCTTCCCAAGCAAATACCCATTAAGCGCTCAAGTGGGAGTCCCATTGACTTGATCGCACCTCTATAATACCTGCCTACGCGTCGCGCACGCCTCGCTTGAAAACACTCCGCGACGTCAGCGCTTATTGCGCGCATTGCGAAATCATCTGCATACTCGAAACTCTTGTGTATACACACGTCTTCCAACGTGCTGAGCGTGGGCCCACTTTATTATTATTATTTTTTTTCTTCTTGTCTTTGAGAAAGAAAAAAAAAGGCTCGACTTGTCATTCACGAGAGTAGAAAGCCAAGTTAAAAAATCAAGTGCTCAGGAAAATCCACAAAAAGATCCAAAGGCGCGAGTCGTTTCAACAACAAACTCTCCCATTTTCCGCTAACTTTTTTTCCCCATCGGCGAAATTGATTCATCGCCAATTGTCGGAAAGGCCCCGCGTTTGGAAAAGTTCCACCAAAGCCCGCGTGTACACACACACACACACGAGTAGCGGCCAATTTATTTACAAGGCCTATTTTTAGCGCGGCCGCCGTCACGGAGCGCTATAAAACCAAACCGAGCTTGCGGCAACGCGGGGAAAAGAGCTTCACGAATCATCGAACCTCCACCTATATGGGACGCAAATAAGATGTCAATACAATACCAACCCGTCGTGTGACTATATATATATATATATATATAGTGTTTAATTTGATTAGCGCTCCATTGTTAGCGACATGCGTTTGGAAAGTGATGTCCGGGGTACAGGAGAGGGTGCGTTTCTCGTGGGGGACGAGTTTGGACGAGAATTAAATGTTCCTAACTGTGATTTACAAAGTAGTTTTAACTTTAAAAAAAAAGGCACCCACACATGGCTATTGTTTATTAGTATTGTGTTTCGTGTTTTCTTTATCATCTTTTTATTTCACCATTGTGTGCACTTATGTCGTTAAAGAAATAAAAAACAACTTTGCAGACTGTAAAGCCAGTTCGTCAATGTTTTATTTTGCTAATGACGCATTTTAAGGACCATTACGATGGTGAAACACACATTATTATAATGGCACTAAAATAATTGTATTCCATGTTGCAAACAACGTATTTTGTAAGATACTAATTATTTTGGAGTCAAAGCATCAACATAGGTGTGAAAAGAATAACCGAAACCAGAATCCTTTTATCGGTGTATATACTCGGTATCTCACGCTGTTTTGGAAATCATTACTTATTCCAGCGAAAATTATATTTGTATAGCAAGTGTGGACTACGTGATGAGCATTTTTCGCGGGAATCATCGTGGAGAAACAGTAATTTCAAGAAGCGCGGCAGAATTATATCTCAAAAATAATTCTCCGAGGTATCGAGTTTCAAACTCCAAATAACAATTGAAAAAAAATCAAACCAGCATCGATTGATTGAAATTCTAAACAAAATAAAATTGAAAAAAATAAAGATAAATACCAACGAGCATCACAACAAAGCTCACGCGACCGTGGGCCTTCCATCTACGGCAAGATCGAGGACTGCTGGTTCACCTCACGCAAAAAAAAAAAAAAAAAACCCACCTCGTCACCACACGGCTACCGCGGAGAGCGCGTGTCGGGAAAAAGTTTATTGCTGCCTCGCGTCTCTCGATCTCGCGCGTATGACTTCCCCGATGCGCATTGTAACGATATGTGAGATCGGTAACGAAACGACGCCCACGATCGTTACGAAATACAGCACAGGCCAGTCACTCCCACTCGCGGTTCACGGTATTAGACGAGAAGCCGATTTTTTTCATCGTTGCTCTTTGCCGATTTTTACTTCCATGTAGCGCTCACTTTGGGCGGATAATGGTGTTTTCGCATCACTCATCCTTAATCGGTATGCAGTATTATAGTTCAAGTGGCTCGATCGACGCACGTACGAGAATAGAATGGAGGGGGGAGTTGATCCGTGAGTTATGTAGCGACAGGCGCCGGTTGGAAAAGGCGCGTACAATGGATTATACACACGAAAATAGTATAGCCGGCTGATTTCTCTTTTTTTTTTTCCTTCTTTCGATCGCGCGGCAGCTGTTTTCTCGGAGACCTTTTTTTCTTTTATTTTTATAGACACCGATTCTCTCGATTATGGGTTTTTCTCGACGCCTCTTTTGGGAGGAGGGAAAGAAAGGTGCTATTTCGAGCGCCATTCTTTCGATCGTTTTCACTGTTGACGGCAATTATGGTACTATACTTCTCTCGGTGCACATTACGCAACGCGCAACTTCCGAAGCTAAAGCGCGAGCCGCCAATTTTTTCGACGCGTTTACGCACGTTGTGCGCTCGTTTTTCCATCACCAGCTTCCCGATTGGCGAGCAATGACGTTAATTTTAGGCACTGACTAAGAGGGCAAAATACACACACGTGTGCGCGCACGAGCGTGGCACGGTAAAAAGCAACCCGAGCAAAAATACACAAGAGCGGTAAGATCGGGGCTGTTTGTCGATCTTGGAGAGAAAATCGGTTCGATCGGAAGGACGCGAGCGAACGAACGGCAAGGTCGAGCGATCGGCGTGTCATCGGGCTGTGGAGAGAAAAATTCGTTAGTGAAAATACACAGGTTGACCTTTGGAGGTCGACAGAGAGCGCCGATTGGGGATCGATAAAAGGGTTTCGGCGTCTCGTGCGTGGTGTGTTTCGATGGTTGCGTTGTCGTCCTTCTTTGGTATTGTTTAGCTATTTGGGACACGCGCCCAAGCTTTTAATTTCCGTTCGCCTACTTTGCCGAGATGGCCTGTCAATCGGTCGCGTGTCTCTTGATGGACGAGCCTTGGGTTCTGCCTTTTTTTTTTTCATTCGAAATGGGTTGATGACGAGGCGCGTAATTGATCGAGCTTTTGATAGGTGTGGTGGAACTTGGATGCAGTGAGTAATAGAAGTTGAAGAAGCAAGGTATTGTTGTTTTAGTTCGGCTCGTATACGACAATTTTGTGAGTGGTTTCATTAGGGAAATAGTCATGTGTCGATTACGTCTTCAACTGTAGATAATGAAGTTGAACTTCAAAATCGGCATATTGTTAAACTTCAATTTTATTTTTTCTAGTACAAGTTTTTTATTGTTTTGTCGGTCGAGGTGTTTTGTATTTATTGTTGGAAAACGTTTTACCTAGCATGCTCGTT